ATATTTCTACTTCTCTGCCGCATGAGAATATTTAATGCACACGACTCAAGAACAGTAAGTGAATAACCTTACAGAAAACTTCCACATCCCTTACGCTACCATCTAATCCCCAGACAATGTGCTAATGTACGGACGTACTATGAAAACATTATTGTACTTATTGGAGATATGATTAATGCACATGACAGCTCTGTTCTGAATTAACTATTTAGAACACTTGATTGCGCAAAAGATAAAAGAAACTGTAAAAAGCTACAGGCAGTCAACTCCAAATAGTTGAGTACCGAAAGCAAAATATCGGTACTCGTACTCTATACCCAAAAAGCGGTATTGGTGCATCCCTAGTTTTAATTAAAACGATTTTTTTTTGTATCAGGACAAGTAGATTGTTATGAAGGACAAGTAGATTTGTCCCCCGTTTTAGCCCTTGGACAAGCAGTGTTTTCAAAAATTTCCACACCCCTGGTGGAGGATTCTTAACAATTCAGATATACTGTATTTCCATACAATGTTACCAGGATTATCAAGAATACAAATATTTAAATATAGCAGAGCACATTTTACACTTAATTTTTCCTAATATGTTTATTTTTTTTATTGGTTGGCTTCATACCTATGCATTGTGGTATTCCATGGTAAAACTTGTGTTGCGGTAATGCACAGCATTCGGTGCAGGGCACTGTGGAGAAGGCAATTTAAATCGGCCCTCTAACACACAAGTATAGTAAATTACAACAGACTCGCACTGCAGCTCACAACACCCCACATGCCATGCCTTGTGGTATGCTGCATTCGAAAAAAAAAGTGTGGATGTAGTTTTCTATTAATTGCCATGTGTTGGCAGTCCATTTTACATGAATGGGTTGCAATGATGCAAAGTGGGTTACCCCGCATGTGGCAATGCACCAAAACTGACTGGTATAGTTCTATTTTTCTTCATCTGATAATCCAGTAATACAATACTGACTGTTTAAATGTTGAAATTTAGGAACTAATATATTTTCTTGGAAAGCTGGACTTAGGAACAAAACTCTAAAGGAAATGCTAGCTTGTAACATTCTGAACATTCAAGAACACTTTGTAAGGTATACTGTATTTTGTCAAGCAAAGGAAGTTGTTATTATCTGCAGTCCTGATCCTAACCAACTGCACTCATGTTTTCTAAAGCTATAAAGTTTTTAAACATATAAAAACAAAGAGAGTGCACTGATCTGGTACATTATCAACACAATCTTTATTTAGATTACACAAAATAACACGTTAAACTCACATTCAGTAGGCTAGTCATCAGCTTGTAAATGGCTTCAATCCATGTGTAGGGTGAGCAGTAGCCAGGCAAGCAGTTATACTAGTTGGCATAAAAATCGTCCACAGTATTCCAGCAGAGATACCGGGGAAAGGTGACAAACATTCCCGTGTCTGTCGATGTGATCCTCATCAAAACTCTGGTCTGTAAACAACATGAGCCTGACAGCATGTGCATGCCAGCAGGCCTACTAAATGTGAGCGGAACATGCAGTATTTCTTGTAATTAAAGATTATGTTGATAATATGACAGATCAGTGCTCTCTATTTGTTGTTATATGTTTTAAGGTTATTCAGAGCATTCCATGTGCCATTGTGTGAGAGCTGAAGATGAGAAAGAAGTACTCCTGCTACTGGGATTGTCTCTCGGGTAAAATTAAGATGAACTAACAGCAGAACTGATTTTATTATTATTTGAGGTTTATTATTTTTATGTCTAAAGTTATAAAGTCACGTAACATTTGGAAATGTTTTGGCTTTTCCTACAGAACTTTAGCACAGCAAAGATGACTTTATCTGTTCTCTATTAAAGTGGACCTTTACCCTCTTTCACTAAAATTCCCATCAGCATGCAGCTGATCATATTACATTCATTAGTTAAACAAACATGTTTTTCATTTACTTACAAATAGAGTTCATCTACTTCCTGGTCCACTTTTGTAACAAATAGGGTAATGTGCCCATTGCATCCTGGGAAGGTTACATCAGCAGAGCATTACTGGGAAATCTCATCTGTAATCTTATGAGATCTCAGGAAAAGGCATTTTCCTCCCCTGAGATGATGTACATGGTCACATGTCCTAGTCACATGAACTAGAGTTCCAGGAAGTAAAAGGAGACCTAGTAATCTGTATAATAACATATATATATAGATAGATATATGTATAGATTATAATAATGTAATAATGTAATGCTATAGATATAGTAATAGTGAAATGGCCACTGTCAGAAGGCTGGGAAAGAAAAGAAAAATAAGGTATGCAAAGAATACAAAGCATGCAATTATCTAGAAGTATCTGTTTGTAGATTGTCATTACTAAACATTTCTAAAGGTGAGTTTGTTGTTATTTTAAAGATATGTGTAAAGTTCCTCTTTAAGCAGTTCAGGATTTGGAAGTATCCCATCATCTAAGCCTTGTAATGGTTATAACTACAGCCATGAGCTCATTTCTTTTTTGTTTAGCAAGGCACTGAGGTAAAAGTAATCTGAGCTGCTGTAGAGCTGAACAATCACTTTTACAGAAGCGTTTTCCAATGTCCTCTGCTGAGTGTGAACCCTGAAAACACTCTGCTCTAAACACTGCTAGGTACATAGTTGTTAAAACCTGAGCTTGATTGGCTGGGGAGACATTAGGAGTCTAACAGTACTCTGATGTTACCATAAAGAGTACCTGTCACCTGCCCAATGCTGTCACATAGGGGGTTTGTTAGCCCCCTGTAATAGCAGAAGGAAGGACAGTGTCAGCACCAATTCAGAGATGATTTGAGGATCTACAGCTGAATGATACACAAATAAACTACACTTTTGTTATTAGTTAAGGTACTTGAATAGATTTAAAGTTTAGTGTCACTGTAAACATTTTTAAATATTATGAAATTAATAAAAATAACAATAAAAAAAATTAAAAGAACACACATACAAATGGAGATGCATGCACATGTATTTAATAAACAATTGCGTAACACATATTGAGTACTGCTGTGCGTAGATAACTCGAGGTACTGTAATGTTTTGATGTTTCACAGATGCATGCAGTTTTGAGGCTTGACATTTTTGGTATCTGTATACTCAGCACAACCTCATTGTTTATTTTGCACAACTAACTTGGAGATTACATTGTGTTTGTGTGCACTAAAATACATTTTAGTGTATTTTTTTTACTGAAAATTTAGATTTGATAAATATATAATGTACAACATACAAAATTGCAACTACCATATTTTATTTTACAGGGACTACCCTTTCAGAGAAAATATATTGGGGTCTATTCACTAAGCTGCCGAGGGCAGCCGCGTGAATGACCGATCTGAAGTGAAGTGAGCCGAACACAGTTCGGCTATTCACTTCAGGCTGGTACGGCTAATTTCAGCCGTACATCGGCTTGCTTCGCGTGGCTTTGGTCGGCCGAACATGCTCAACATGCTCAACATCTGGATCGGCTGAGCCGAACCTCCGGCGGGCTTCGCACTGCTGTTCGGGCTATTCTTAAAGATGCCGAACAGCAGTGAGTGAATAGCCGAATGCCGCTGAGCAGCATTCGGCTTGGCTGTTCTGCTCGGACCCTCAGAGGGACCGAGCATAACAGAAATAACTCACTGCCACAGGCGGTGATTTCAGCAAATAATGTGGAATTGTTCAAGAAACTTTTGGACGATTTCTTAAGGGACCGTAATATACAGGGGTACAGGTACTCCTAGAATGAGATCCTAATAGGTTGGACTTGATGGACTAATGTCTTTATTCAACCTCAAATACTATGTAGCTGTGTTTCTCTCCTTGGCGGCCGGGAGCAGGAGAGTTAGGTGTTTGGAGATCAGTGTCCCTGGTTATCAGGTAACCAGGGACGCTGATCTCTCTGAAAGTGGCCGAGCCATCCGTAAGATCACGGCTGGCTCCGCCCAGCTGTCAGAAGCAGGCCGTCGGCCGGCCAATGGCCGGCCGCTCGGCCAGCTTCGGCTTTCAGCACGGCTCAGCGCTCGACTGAGCTGCTCGGCCGTGATCGGGAGCTGTACGGGCTATTGTGAATAGCCCGTACAGCACCCCCTCGGTTCTACTGAACCGAAGGGGTCCTGGTGCCGAAGCTAGCCGAAGGATCGGCCGAAGCTACGGCCAGGTCCTTCGGCAGCTTCGTGAATAGACCCCATTGTTTTCAAGTAATTTTCTAGCCAAAAAAGTAGATTTTAACATGTGTGTGGAAAATATAAAAAATTGCACCGGAGGTAAAGTGGTTAAATAATGCTGTTTATTTTCATAATAGAAGATGCAAGATAGGATAGACTAAACCAACAGCAGAAAATGAAATGACTAGTCAAATTAAACTAGCTAAATAATTTTACATACACTATAAAGGGACTCTCTTCAAATAGGTGCTGTAGGGTATGTATACTGTATGTATTTAGAATGGCACCCCAACACATTAAGAGAAGCACCTGTATTGCAGCAAATGATAGTGCACTGTTGTGTACTGTGTTTGAAAAAATTTTGCAGTTGCATTTTTAGGTCCGTTGTGGTGCATTGGCAGCCAAATTGAATAAACGTGATTCCTTAACATATAGAGCAACTCTCTTTAAATAGGTATGGTAAGGCTGGCTTCACATATGTGCATTTTGAATGGTACCCCAACACACTAAAGCAACACAACTGGGTTAAATTGCATGGTAACTCTCTGCAATGGGCCCCTAAAAATATTATTAAAAAAAAGATTATTAATAACTAGACAAATGGATAGAAAATATGCACTGTATGACAACTAACCAAATACTATTTTCTTAGATTAAACTATGCAATTAAAGGTTCCACCAGATTTGAACTAATCTAAATCTAAAAATCTAATAAGAAATGTGAAACTGTTATTTTATATTTTTGAAATGATCGGGTAAAATCTTTGTGTATATTATAAATGCATACATTAATTAATGACATAATCATCAATTGTATTTAGCTGAGATAGAAATGTCTTGATTTTATGACTTACATGGTAAAGACGTCAAGTGTGTCCCCAGCAGTTCTTGCCATTTCAAAATAGGTCTGCAGAATGTTGACAGTGCCTGAGAGAGCCTCGTGACCACAGCCACAGAACAGTGCAACCCCGGCATACAGCAGGATAGTAGCAATCAATGATGCATACGGAATTCCCCCAAGGCATTTTATGCAGCATTCGAAGCAACCTTCAAACAAAACAAATAGAAGATAGAAGGTGAAATGGCATTCATGAAATTGCTTTAGCCGTCTAATTTGTAGCTTTTATTTAGCCTGACTTTATTTATATTTTATTTAAATAAATGCTATGCTAGTAAACCCAATCAATTAGCTACTAATGCTCTCCTGAAAACATTGCAACTGTGTTCAAGCCAGAAGATTCACTCTGATTAATGACCTTAATCTGAGTTCTGTGCAATCCCCTCCTGCCAGAATTACTAGAGCAGTTCACAGGATCACCAGTGCTACGTAACTACCTCTCTTTCTTATATCCAAGGCAGGTTTGAATCTGATTGCTAGCTGTGAGAAACTTCTTAATACTAATACGTTTTTTTACATCAGGCTTTCCGTATGTGAGACAGCAAGATGCCTGTAGGGAGTGTGGTTAGGAATACCTCTCTTACTATACAAGAAGGGGTTTTAAGGCCAAATAAATACCCATTGATCCTGTCAGAAATCCACTGAGCACTGTTATCTCTTGCAGAGTTATAAGCACTGTCCAGTTCACCTTTGTGAAATACAGAACATGATGAAGAGTGGGGGAAGGTGTTTGTAGTCCAAGTCAGGAGAGCAGCCTGGGGTGACACCACTGCTCCTCCTTAGATACAGTAAGCATTGTCACCCTAGAACAGGAAGTGGGTAGGCTGTGCTCCTGTTCTGCATTTAGAGTTGCATTATGCACTCTGATGGCAGAGTATTTTTGAATAAAAAAAAATAACTAGGGACCCCATATAAAAAAAATAACATACATAAAATACTATTATGTTGCCAAGTAATTATTATTTTTATTACCAATATTAAATATAAATTACATACATAGTGTATATATAAACAAATAGTACATTTTGGATTTCATGATGTTTAAAAAGAAATATGCACAATAAAATATTTCAAATAAACAATATAGTTTTTTTTGTTCCATTGCTCTCAAAAGTAAAATTAAATTGTAATTTCTTTTCAAACAGCAATTGTTGTGGTAATGCCATTGTGCACATGTGAATTTGCAGGAATATATTATTTCAACCAACTGTGCAAAACAACAGCCAGCCAGTGCACATCTAGGAAATGATTATATGTTTTTCGAATCTACAGCGGTCCAACGGTAAAATCTGAGCCAGATGCAGCAGCTGCATAGCTATGATGATTAATGTGAATTATAAATGTGAAACTATCAGATGCAGGAAATGGATATGCTATGATTTTAATACAGTGTCTTCACTTACAAGGTCAATTTATAAACTTTTAAAACAGCAGATGTGTTCAAACAGATATAATTTGACCTTGGGTGTTGATTGGTCCTGGCACCAAGGGCACAACCCCCCTGGGCTCCAGCCAAGGAACTTAGGCCTGCGGCTAATACATTCAAGTGCCTCTATTGTTGGGCAAAACAGGTATTAGAATTATTTTGTCTGGCATTTTAAACCAAAAGAATAGACAAAGAAAAAGTAGTTATTCTTGAAAACTGACTAATACACTGGCCAATAACACAAAACCTCTAATCCTGTTTTTGAAAACAAAATGCTGCTTTTTAAGAGATTAGCTAAATCGTCACTTCCACCTACAGGGTTAGCGCACACAGGCGATAATAGGCTTATTCTGTGTCTTCATATTGAAGTGTACTGTACTTTACAGCAATAAAGAAACTCAATATTTACAGTATATCCCAAAAAGTTAGGCAGTACAAATATACAAAAGTTTCAAATGTTACAAAAGACATACATACCCACAAGTGGTATGTTAAACGAAAGGTTATAGAAAAATAAAGAAAAACTATCTAATTGCTCCTCTGTTCCAGGAGCTTCAAGAGAATGTGGAAAATACCCTCAGTCAGCAACCAAACCTCAAAAACATGAACTATTGAATGTAGACGATATACTGTTTTAAAACAAAATGGAGTTGCTACTCCAAGCTCCTAAAATCAGACATGAGTGGGTGTCAGTTCCCTGCTAAGCTAATTCCCAGACATATTCAGACTTATTTAGATCCCAAGAAACGTTTGCGCAGAATCATCTAGAATTTAAACTATGGCCAAAAGACTCACAATAGAAAATGGGGGGGGAGGGGATCTGGCTGCCTTTTGGATTATCCAGTCCACTCAAAAGAATGGCACAGAGCAGCCATAGTGTCAGTGTGAAAGATGCTGCATGGAAGGATGGGGAAACTGTTTAGGGTGAGATTAAGGTTAGTTAAGATTAAGGTTAGCTAAGATTAGCTAGGTGGGGTGTGAGAGGATGCCCTTGTTCCTCTAAGACTCTAACATCTACCCTACATTTGACAATACAGTAGTATTATTCTCCTTCATTTCAAAAGAAAATACTGTATGTGCAGCAGCATTTAATTATAAGTGCATTTCCCCTTGCAAACGTCCACAAATACCTGTTGGGACTGCCAATGAAATCCACCTAAAGCAACTTCCAGTGATGGTGTGGCAACAATGCTGCACTGCTTCTGAATTCAGAGCAGCTTTGCCGCCCTCATGTATGCTTTGTGCTTGTACTACAGTGGGTTGAGAAGATGTTGCAGAAGGCATAGCTTTCAGTATTGTCACTGCTGATTCACAAGCCTGTAGCTGGAGATTAGCACCTGGCAACATACAGTCCAGCCCACTAAATTCTGGATTGACAGCACTTCCTCTGTTGAACGCATGTGAAGCACAATGACAAATGTGGCTTAATCAGAGAAGGTAAAGGAAGTTTTTTTGTTTAAAATATGAGATGTATGTTTAACACATCAACTGAATTTGGGACTTGTTTAGTCATACAGGAGCCTTTATATGTACTTAAAGTTCAAAACTCTTCCAAGCTCTTTGGACACCCTGTTGCTTTGCAATCACTGCTTAACCTACAAAAATACACTTAAACCCAACACGTCCACATTTTGTTCAATCCAATTATAAAAGGGCATCCAGAAGTATATTTTTATTATAAAGCAATGTTTAACCCCTGAAGGACAAAGGCCTTTTTAAATTTTTTGTTTACATGTTATAATCCACATTTTAGGTCTGGAAATTACTTAAAACCACCAAACATTGTATATTTTCTGAAAGACAAGACCCTATAGAATACAATGGTGGCAGTTGCAAATTTTTATATTGCACGACATTAGCGCAACTTACTATTAAACCCAAATATTTAGTGAAAAATTAAGTTACATTTAGTGCCCCAAAACACTGTACAAAACCATTTTTTAAATAAAATATAAAAGATGAGACTACAACGAGTAAATAGATACCCAACATACCCAGGTAAAAAATTGTGTGCATCTGTGAAACTGCAACAGTTTTTTGTAAACTGCTTTAATTGCTATCATATAGGTGGCTTACAATCCCCCACGTGATAGCATATTGGTAGGGACAGGTCCTCTTTAAGGTGATACTGGGGGTCCAAATGACCCCTAGTATCACCTTTACACTCTAAATAAGCTATTGAAGTGCAGATCACGCTTTAATAGCTTCTTGCTGGGCTTCAGGAGCCCAGCAATGAAAGTGATGGGACCTGAAGTGATGCAATACACGTCACTCCTAATCCCATAGAACGGGGAGGAGATCGGTGAACGTCCTCCCCAGCTTCCCACTGACACCCTTAATGCCGGTCCCGGGCCCGTAGTAGGAGACGGGGGTGTTGGGCAGGGATGGAGGGGGGGGTTTGGCAACTTGTTTACCGGATTTGTAGAAGCGATCTGGTGGCAGCTGAGATGCCAGAATTGCTTCCACTGTAAACCCTGCTGCCGGCTCTACAAATCTGAGCCGAGTCCCAGCGGCTTTTAGCCTGTTTAACCCCCTCAGAAGGGGTTAAGTACCTTAAGGACCAGTTTTCATACCAGTTCCAGTGGCATTCAGAGAAAAATTAACATAAGTCCAAATTAGCTTATGAATCCTTCCTATGGTGAGTGAAATATTTGAACCTAATGGCTTACTAAACTCTGCAGATAATAATCTTTTTATGTAACGTGAAAAGCAATTTCTGTTGTATGTGAAAATGATTAGAATATTGTTGAACCCTCTTTTCTACAGGATGGTTTTTGCTAAAGAAAATGATGATGTCTCTATGATCGAAAAAAAATAATTAAAAAAATCTATTGTGCTGCTGAATTCTTGGCTATTTCGAGAACAATAACAATTGTGATTCAACTGAAAAGATTTCAAGACAAGCTTTGCTACAAGGTCAGAATGTACTGCTCGATTATGTTAATACGTACCTAATTTATGCACAACGTGTAGAAATGTTTTTATTTAACTCTGCGGTAGAGAGAAAATCTTTGCATACCCTTTCAGTTTTGGAAAGAAATAAGTGAATCTTATCCGACGGGTGAATATGTGATGTAAATGTATCAAACCTTTACTTCAAACTATAGTAGCAGTCATAAAGGCACTAGAATTGGTTAATATATTTACTATTCTACACTCCTTTGAGTGCTGTTCACACACCGAAAGGCTTGGGCACTTGGCACTATCAGGAAGTACATGTGATGATATCCGGCGTAGTGTGCGTGGCCAAGGATATGCAACCGCAAGTTAGTCTGTAATGGCACCTGGGGTACAACAAGTTTTTATCATATTGATTTTATCCACTCCACCACCAGGGGACAGGCTATTTGACATTTGTCAATTGGAAATTCTCTGCGGTCCTCTTATGATTGAGGGAACCATTTTGATTAAATAAGGCAGAGCATTAGTATTATATAAGTGGAAGTGCGCATAACATCAGCAGACTCTGATGAAGGGGGTACACCCCGGAAACACGTTAGTCTGGCTACATCCATTGGCAGGTCCATTATGATGAGTTGATCGACTCTGATGTGTGGACTTTCCCACATACAAGATTTGAATTGCTGATCATCCTGTAATACATGCATCTATTCATTCATGATTGTATTTGTAACCTGTGTTTATAATAAATTAGTTGTACATGCTTCACACGGTGACGGTGCCGTCCCTTGTGTTTGTTTTTACATGGTCTTGAGGATTTCC